TTCACCTCGATAACGATAAATGGATGATAACTGCAACCCCCCACCCCCAAAAATAATGTGATAGGCCGGCATGAATAATTTACAGCCAGTTATATTGATGGCATAATTCCCTTTTTACTACCACTTTAATTAACTTTAAAACTACAGCTTCTGCAAATAAATGAAGAAAATGTGTACTTTTAGTTTTTAATAGTTTTTGAACAAATGAACAAATTTAGAAGAATAAAATAACTTTCCTGTAAACACAAATTATTAAAAATACAATCTCTTATAAATGAAATGGTCACATTTGAGTTGTCAAGTATTTCCTTGTAAATAAAACTAAATAATAAAAAATGAATTTCACATTTGCCATTTGGAAAAGTAAACGATGAGCTGTGCAAAGGTCTGCCTCGGTGTAAAGGTCGCAGGTGGTGGACGAGGTTGGATGTATGGTCATGGCTTGTCGCAACAGTCTTTTGGTATAGTTTACACTTGGCTTTTTTTGTTCAATATCGTCTTTGCTCAACCCAAAATGTTGCTGGACGACTGATGACGCTTTTTTTTTTTTTTTTTTTTTTTGGGAAATTAGCTGCTCCTCTTCCTCCTGGACCAGCTCTGCCGCCGCTGCTGCCGCTTCAACATTCGAAAGTTCCTCCATTTTCTCAGCCGCACCGTCTCTTTCACTTCTTGCTACAGACTGGATGGGGTGGAGTCACGTGACTACAGACTGCACGTAGCGCAGCGTCTTAAAGGGACATGAGCATAGCTTACCTGTACACAGCCAAAAGACAAAACGACTTTTATTTTAATTTTTTTTTAAAACACCGAAGATACCGACATGAGCAAAATGACGTTGATCATTGTTACAAATTTCGGTGTCGGTTAATTTTCGGTATATTGCCCAGCCCTAGTGCAGACACTTCAGTCTAGAGAAAAATAATGAATACACGAACGTTCGTTTGGACCGAGGATGAGGCTGAGCGGCTCCTACTTGTTGGGAAGGGTGATCAGCACAAACAGCACTCTGCTACCTTCCACCGTTACTGCTGTGTACTCGCACAGAAAAACCAATGACTGCAGCAGTCCGTAAAGGTGGAAGCCGGGATGGAGTCACGTCTGTGTTGCATGCTAGCTTAGCGCTACGTTGCTCCCGGTATTTGTCGACGAGGGGCGGGGTTTAGAAACGGAGCATTTTTGCTAGCATGTTTGTATTGCGCACCGCGCCACATCAGGGCGCTCAGTTTTGTTGACAGGGCGGGGCGCCCTGCTTGTATAATAGTAGGGGAAACACTGGCTCTGTGTGCACTGAGATCACTAAATAAGTTAAAACAAAACAAACATATAGTTTTTATTGTTGTTTTGGCAAAGAATGAACCAAACCGAACAGGAAAACCTTGCTGTGATACCCTCACCCTGCTGGATAGCATTGAAGCAACATCTCTAGGAACTGCTGTCTTGCTGTTTTTGTCTCTAAGCTTAAAATAATCTGAAGTAAAGCTGCTGTCATTTGGAAAGAATAGAAAATGCACGGCCGCCCCAGGTGTGTGCCAGTTTCCATGTAGCTACATACAGTTCTTTCTGTATGTTGGCACTAATTAGCTCCAACTGTTCACCCCGCATGCAGGTTCTATTGCAGAACACGAGTAGAACCATCACGTCACAGCTAATTCGATCAATAGACCTTTTTATTTTATTTGTTTATGATGATTGAGCTAAAATGCAAAAGGAGAACAAAGGCGCACACTGAAACAGTTTAAGTTAAGCTGCAGACTTTTATTTCACCCGTTGAGCCCAGCAGCTGAACATCAGCCGAACATCTGCAGCTTAATGAGACACAGTTCAGTCCTTGAGTTTATGAAACCGTTTGTCTGACGATATAAACGACACGGATCTGTAAATCCCCAGGAAGGAGACCGAACTTTAACAGAGCGTGACTCAGCGGTGTTTTCAGAGCGAATAAACCGGGGAGAGGTTTTCCTGACTGCCTGAACCAGACCGGTGCTCTCAGCGGGCAGCGGGCTGTTGATAATCCCTAATTAGAAAATAATTCCTGTGGCAGGAAGTTGTCTTCGTCTTCCGCACACCTGCAGCAACTCAAAGCCGGCAGGGGACGACTCAGCTGTTTTCTTTTGCAAATCGCTCCATTTAGTTCTCTGCTGGGGAGCTGGATGAGCGTGAAACAGCGTCAGGAGGATAAAAGAGCAGAGTTTATTTTAAAAAATACCGTGACCCACCAAGAAAATGAAAAGACGTGACGTCTTCAGCTCTTAATTTTATGTTTATAAAACCTT